AAACTCAATGAAAAAGACGATGAGATGTCAACGACTCGGTAAACAATGACATAGAATAAAGGAACCGCTATGTCATTGTCTATTTCCATCTTTGTTATTACCGACTGAGATCTGTATTCCCACACTGACATTAGCCTCATTATTATTACAGTGACCAATTAATTTATCTGTTAATTATTTCTATTGTTAATCCGCCCCTTAGTTTTTTTTGTCCAATCACCATGTTCATTATATTCTATTAAAATGTCGACCAATCATATTATACTTTACTTTTTATCATAATTATTGTAATAGCCAACTTATATTTTGTTTGCCACACATGCTGAAGAAGACCCGAGGACGGGTTGAAATATTCATGTTTTGAATAAAATTTGTGTTCTAAGTCTACCGAGTCGTTGACATCTCATCGTCTTTTTCATTGAGTTATGTATCTAAGGAACACACATGGATTACATCATGCTCTATATATATATAAAATATAATACAAAGTGTCATGTCATTGTCATATCCTAGTTTATTTTTGGATTGTATTATGCTTCATACTTGTTCTAACAGGATTGAGAAGCTATTTAAATGTTTCATAAAAAAATACTTCTTATGATATACTGTAATATGATATATGACACCCTATATTGATGATGTACCAGGCATGAGCAAACCGCTTGCCCGGCGCCCGGGACAATTGTTTTTTACGGTCGGACAACAAGAATTTTAGGGACCACTTGTCCATGGACAAACACTTTTAGAATAGGCTACTTCACCATGTAATGCGTAATGATTTCAAAGTCAGACTCTTGACAATACGCAGCATGCAGTATTTTTATTAACAAATTGTCGGCGCACAAAGAGATATCAAACAGAAAACAGACTAGGCCATGGTTACGCACCACACTGTGTGCATCAACTTTGAGTTGCCAACACTCCCGCGATTTATGGACGGTTTAAAAGAAAAAGATTATTTTCTGCAGTAAAGATTGAACATGAATTCTTAATTGTTAAATGTTAGCCAGATTTGTCGTAAGACCTACAGCAGGCACATTTTCGCACGATATCATACCTGTTAGCCGTTAGCTGTCTGGGCCTGCTGCACATGGTCTTTTTACAATATAAATTCGCACTGGTGTAGTCTATAAATACCAGACATATTTAAAGATTTTGGGCGCACTGCCATTTCTTGATTAATTGAGTTGGACGACATGAATTGTCTGGAATTTTATGATTGTTTTGAATGTCCTGGAAATTTGATCATTTACCATTCATCCAATACTGCAGGTTGCCTAGTAACAGTAAATTAAATGAGAAAAGTTTCCCACGATACTCTTGGGAGAAACAGGTCAAGTCTTTGTATGCCGCCAATTTAAGAATGTTATTGAAGACAGAAAGAATGTCAAATGCTGAAAGTGGCTAACTGGCTGGTTTAGACAAACTTGTGCGATTCAGTAAATGGAGTTGTTCGCCTATATTTTTAAATAAAGTGATGCTTTCTTAATCTTGTATATTAATTATGTTTGCATGTAATTTTAATTCAGACGTTGATAATCATATCATTAAACTTTGTTGCTATCTGCTATGGTGTTTATAATTGCTTTCTGTTGTGTGTTATAAACAGTAATATTAAACTTAAACTTAGTTCAACAGGTCTTGTCGCACAGGTTCAGCCCGGTGAATTCACTTTGGGTAGTTCATCACTCTCCAGACGTGCACACTTTTTCTGCATATGAAAATATTCAAAAATTAACATAATCATGGGAACATGTACTTCTGCAGTTATTTTCAGATTACACCGAATGGCGTTTGTGTTTAAAGTTCGTTTACGTTAATTATGTTTGAAAAACGGTGAGAACCCTGTTGTACATTAACATTTTGCTGTATAGTACAAAAGTTTACGTAGGCCTACAGCAATATAAATGTCCAAATACAAGATAAAATTACTGACTAATATCCATTAATTAAATTAATTAATAATACAGTACATCGTTAGTTTATAAAAGTTTTAACATGCATAAACACCTAAATATATGAAATAAAATAATTTAATGTCTCTGCAACATACATCCATCAAAGAGGGCTATATTTATAGTATATCCATTATTATGTCAACTTTACCACAGCTGTGACAGTTATAGTTCGCTGAAACAAACCTGGACAGGCGTGCACCCCGCCCCGCAGTGCCACAAAAGAACCAAATTATTCTGACTGAAAGGCACTGACACGTTTAAGCGAAAGGATAAGACCATTGCTCTATGCGCACATTTGTGTTGCATGTCAAGGAGAGAATTCTAGCCCTGCCTTACTTTACCGGTACTTTCCCATACTCGTGGGAATTCCTTTGCTTACCAAGTAATTTTTAGAATTGTGGGAAAAACAGAATTTCCCATGAGCTCGAGAAAAAGGGACAGATCCATAGTCTCCAAATTAAAGTTAGATAAAACTTAATGTACACTTAACTAA